AAAAATACAAAAAAATTACTCCATATAAAAAAATATTTTCAACTATTATTTACATATAAATTATAAATTTTTTTATCTTATATTCATATTTAAAAATCATAAAAAAATAAATAAGATTATTAAATTTGATGTTGATGAATTACACTGCTTCTCCTCCCATCTCATCAAAATCAGCAGATCACCCAATGGAGCACTTTGATGCAAAGTTTCTCCTGGGTCCACAACCAATCGGAGGGCCAGATCAAGCCTTTGTCTCATTTTATCACCGTGATTTTCGCTATGACTGAGTCCCACTCCCTTCCTCCTCGTAAAGTCGAACAAACCAAACCGACACCTGTCCCTTAAAAACCGGACCACACTGTTTTCAGTGTGAGTTCTCAGTTCCCAATCCCTAGAGAACACATAATCCACACCCATGGCGCTCTCCGTTTCCAGCTCGGAGTCTCGAAACGACGGCGGCGGCGGCGGCGGCGGTGAAGCGATTGAAGGGATCGACGCCTTCCCCCGATTCGACGTAGTTTCGGATGACTCCGATCACCACTTCCTCGCTACCAACAAGAACGCCGGCTGCTTCACCAACGCCTCCAGCGGAGTCCACAAGAAGATCACGCAAGAGTGGCGGATCCTCGGCAAGCACCTCCCGGAGTCGATCTTTGTTCGCGTCTTCGAACGGCGGATTGATCTCCTTAGAGCGGTGATCATCGGCGCCGCGGGTACGCCTTACCATGACGGGCTCTTCTTCTTCGACATCGCATTCCCGCCTGATTATCCCAGTCGACCGCCGATGGTTCACTACCGATCTTTTGGGTATCGGATCAATCCAAACCTGTACGCGAACGGGAAGGTCTGTTTGAGTTTGATTAACACTTGGGTCGGGAAAAAGACTGAAAAATGGAACCCGAAGGAGTCAACAGTTCTCCAACTTCTGCTCTCGATTCAGGGTCTAGTTCTCAACGAAAAGCCCTACTTCAACGAGCCTGGCAACGTCGCTTGGCCGGGTCGTTTCTGGGAGAAGAAATCCGCCGCTTACAATGAGGATGCTTTCCTGCTGTCTTGCCGGACGATGATGCTTCTGATCAAGCGACCACCGAAAAATTTCGAAGGCTTTGTTATGAAGTACTTTAGGGATCGATCGAGCTTTATTTTATCGGCGTGTAAAGCTTACAAAAATGGGAGTGCAAAGATCGGGTATTACAACCGTCAGTGCGAATCATCTCCTTGTGCATCAGAAAAGTTCAAGAAATTGATGAAACAACTGTACCCAGAACTTGTGGGAGCGTTTTCAAGAACTGGAGCTTCTCTGGGGAATTTCGTCGAACAGGTGAATGTGGGGAAGAAAACGGCGACACCGGCGTCGGAGAATCAGGCGAGGCCAAAACATAAAGTTGGCGGTGTTCTGGGGAAATTATTAAATTTTTTGGGATTAAAGAAGATGGTTTCTTGAAGAAGATGAAAGGGAAGGAATTTGGCTGCTTTTCCAGGGGACTTTTTCAAAAGAAAAACAAAGGTGGAGAATAATTTTTAGGATTCTCGAACAGAATTTTTTTTTTTATTTATTTTTTATGTGGATTCTCATAACAAAATTAAGGTAAATAATTACGTATTATTCTTGTTTTAGGGTTTTATTAATTTGAAAACACTTTATTTGACTATGTAGGTTTTTTGTTAATTGAAACGATTGACTACTTGATGCTTGGCATCACAACTTTAACCTAAAATTAAGGTTGAGGTCAAGGTTTTTATATTATTAAATAAAACTCGACCAAACGTTCAATGGTATTTTATTATGTAGTTGATATGAGTCTGGTAGGATATATTTTTTTGGTATGATGGAAATCGGGCTACTTTTTTTTTTTTTTCACTGATTGTTGCTTGATCCTTAAGTTAAGGATCATGTTTGAATATTTATCTTAAGATAAGTGTATTTAAAAATGAGAAAAAGGGAATCATTAATATTTATCTTAATGTTTATCTTAATATTTAAAAAGGGGAAAAATGGAATCATTAATATTAAAAAAAAAAAGGGGGGAAAATGTG